CCGCTTGAGTTTTTTTCAGCGAAAATGTGCCGAATATTGCCAACGATCATCCCACTTTGTGACTGGTACTTGTAGCCATTTATCCAGACATCATCTGTGATTAATAAAAAAAATCAGCACAAATTATTTTTTATATATATATATATATATATATATATATATATATGTTTTGCAGGTTTTCATGTTGTGCTCCTGAATTAATGCTTGGTGATCAGTCTGAATGCATTATTATTTATTGATTTTATGTAATTTTATTTTCAGTAGTGTATGGTTTGACATGGTCAGTCAAAAAATGTTTCCAGTTTAATTAAGGATTTAATTTTATTTTTGAATTTCAGATGCACTTAAAATCTTTTCTGTTACAGTTACTAAAGCTATTCTTTGTTGTAAGTTGGTCCATATTTCTTTCTTTTTATTCTCTTAAACGTTAATAAGAATACAGTGTTATGCAAATGTGTACTTATAACAATTTTATAGACAAACAATACTATTTATAGTCGCGTGGGGGGGGCGAGATGTTTTCTTCTTCCTGGGGGGTGGGCATGACAGAAAATAATTGAGAAGCACTGCTATAATCACACTTATTTCCTGTTGGTTCCTTTTGAAATATTTGTGATTTGACATGAAGAAAAAAATAATGGAGATGAAATTGTTTGGTTCCTGTATTTGGATGGATACTGACCAATAAAGCCTGTGTAAAAGTATGACGGAGCCACAAAATGAGAAAAAACAAGTTGAATAGTTGAATAATCGGATCGTAGCACTCGGAATCGTATTCTAATCAATTGGTGAGGTGCCTTAGATTGCACACCCCTAATCAATTTATAGGTAGAATAATAGTTATTTTTCACCATAGTATGAATAACCTGTCATTGTCATACACTCAATTACTGTATTTAATGCACTATAAGGTGCACCTAAGAGCATTCAGTTTTCTCAAAAGCCAACAGTGCCTTAATCTGATGCGCCTTATAAATGGAGTTGCAGTCTCTTTCTATTCCCCATTGAGTTGTTTCCCTGTTAGTGTTCCTATGCCATCAAGTGGTGATTATGTGCAGGAACCAATTGTAACGTAAGTGTTCTGCCCGACACTAATTGACATCTGCATTCGCCAACACACACTCCAACAGACAGCTACTTTGTGAGCTCTGCGCAGCCATTATGAAATGAACATAATAACAAAAGCATAGTTAACTACTGAATAAATGAAGGAAGAATACAAGCAAGATTTCTTAGGATATTTAGGCCCTTGTGGATGTGAGCCCATGAGGTTTGTCTGCCTTTTTCTTGAATCAATTGTCTTCATAACTTTTGTCTTTCATTTATTGTTTTGTAATGCCATTTGTATTTAGGCGTAGAAAAAAAAAGTAGTGTGTTTCCGGTAACCCGACCGACCGAGAATTTCTACCTTGAAAAAAAACTTTACGGTCGGCATTTTTTTTCAAACAACCTTCAAATTTAACACACGTCATCATCATTAGTTCTACCAAGAGTTAACATTAGCATTACTACACCTTGTGACGAATGTTTTATTCATAAAGGTACCATGCTACAACCAGTAAATTATAGAATAACCAATACTGTTTCATCATATTTTTCATAGCGATTAGCCTACAAATCTAATGACCAACTTGCCTCGTAATTGTGCCTCTTGTCGGATCTCGCTCTCGTGTTCTGTGCATACATCCCAGGTGAGTTTAGTGATACGCCCTTTGGACGATTCATACGAAAAATCAGACTGGCATTCCCATTTCTTAAATGTCGTAATTAGTAGACCTTGGTGAATTTTTTTCGCCGCCATCTCAAACTTTCATCCACGCGATTCCTCAGTTTGCGGACGAAAATAGCAACCCGCATGCGCACATAACGTTATCTGTTGCGTCCTGCCCAACACTGAAAACAAAACAAAACGAAAGTAAATTAGAAGAAACACACTCACACACGACACCACAAACACACATAGAGGCACAGTGAAATCGCGTTGATCACACAGTCAAGTCGTGTGCGGTGACTTTAATGGTTAAATTATTTTTCTGTACCGTTAAAATGACGCTACGGAAACGACACGCTACCGGTAACTATTGTTACCGTGAAATCTTCAGGCTTGCTGTAGTTTTTTTTTTTTTTTTTTTTTTTTTTTTTTTTTTTGAAAATTTTTATTTTGTTTACATTTTTGATGGTGGGGGGGGGGGGTTAAAAAAAACAAAAAACTTTGTCCGACTTACCGACCCTATGCTGAAATTTCATGTTACTGGAAACACACTACTTTTTTTTGTACGCCTTATGCCAAGGAATAAACCCTGTATTTTTATGGACTTCGTGTCGTGCTTCATGCTACATCTTGAGGGAGCCACATATGGATGCGGTATTTTCAATGTTCTGTAAAGCGCTTTGTTCCAGCTGCAGCGGTTGTGAAAGCTCGATATGAATAAAGCTGTATTGTATTGTATTTCCTTTAGCTTAGTTCCATCTAGTGGATCCATAAATCAACCGCAGCCACTATTGTCGCTTCTATTCTATACACCTTATAATCCAGTGCGCCCTATATGTGAAAACAGTTTCAAAATAGGCCATTCATTGGAAGTGCACCTTATAGTGCAGAAAACACGGTACCCATACCTACCATTATCTACCTTCCCTTGAATGATGCGCAGACACTGGCTAGGGCTGGATGATAATCCAAACCTGATTGTGCGTTTGATTTTGGCTCCTGACGATATTTAAAATAACAACATAAATGTAATAGAGACAAGGATAATGCTTATTCTAGGCTTCAATGTGTGAAAAGATGCAGGGCATCAAATATGTGGATGTAGCAGCATGAAAACGAAAGGGTTGAATTTCACATGATATTTACATGGTCATGAGGCTACGATGATAGGTTTGAGTAGTTGAGTTTGAGTAGGTGCAAAAATCCTAAATTTTGAAAGAAATGAATTATCATTTCAATTATTATTTTAATCTCAACCAAAATAATCGTGATTGTTATTTTTTCCAGTATCGTCCAGTCCTAGAGCTACACAATTGGAGAAGTAGCACAGCACAGATCTTTCTGCTCATCTATGTCAAGTGCTGCCAAACTTCCTAACACTCCCTTTAGCAGTTTCCCTTTTCTTTTACTTGACTTGTTTAGCAAGAATTCAACATGTTGACCTGGCTGGGGCCTACTTCTGCAGCGCAGCTGCTTCTGGCATCTGTGATTGTGTGAATGTATTGTGCTTAGGTGGAACTTAGGTCTCTGTTGGATCACTGGCAACAAACAATTGTGGTCAACGTGCTTCCCCCCCCGAATCTTTATATGGTGAATCTTTGATCAATCACACGCTGCTTTTAATGGTCACATTTCCAAAGTGTTTTTTTTTTTTTTTTAGCTAAATATGCAACAGTGAGTGTCACAAAACACACAAGAGAATAAAGATACATTTAGAAATGGAAGCGATGATGCAACATAAGATAAGATAACCTTTATTTGTCCCACACTGGGGAAATTTGCAGTCTACAGCAGCAAGATTGGGGGGTGTGGGGGGGGGAATAAATACATACACACACACACACACACACACACACTATCAAGTTCGTAAGTTGTGAAATGCAAAAATGTTACACTCATGGCTATTTGGAAACACATTACTGTATTTTGCCATCAAAAGCACATTTTCATTGTTGTTGTGAAGAGATGCTCCATTTCACACACTGGAAATATTCTTTTTTTTTTTTTATGTAAGTGAAATGATTTTCGGATGTATTTCACCCCATCAATCACAAATGCAGCGGCTATTAGATTTTTGGTTGGTGATTGTCAATGCGGCGGCATGTTGGACGACTGGTTAGCATGCCGGCCTCACGGTGCAGAGATCCAGGGTTTGATTCTGGCTCCGGCCTTCCTGTGTGGAGTTTGCATGTTCTCCTCGTGCCTTTATGGGTTTTCTGCGGGTACTGCGGTTCCCTCCCACATTCCAAAAACATGCATGGCAGGTTAATGAACACTCTAAATTGTCGCTAGGTGTGATTGTGAGCATGGATGGTTGTTTGTCTCTATATGCCCTGCGATTGGCTGGCAACCAGTTCAGGGCGTACCCCGCCGACTGCCCGAAGACAGCTGCGAGAGGCTCCAGCACGCCCCACAACCCTAAGCGGATTAGAAAATGGATGGATGGATGATCAATGCGATGGTCCGCCTCGCGACATGGGTACATAGATATTTTGACGTGATTACGCTGATATTAACCATTTGTTGTTTAATTACATACACGACAATCCAATAAATAACATGCGTACCGAAGATAGCATGACTACATTGCGACACGTCAATCATTTGTGATTGGTTGATCGAGGATGCGGAGGCAGAACATCCGCCAACATATGCAACTGCCCTAGTCACAGAAGGTTACAAATAGTTTTCAATTTACAGCCATGAGTTAGGCACAGAGCCAGTGAAGGTTACGCACTGCGAGAACAAGCACAACACAGATTCATTCGCTTGTCTGCCCAGATAAAAAAATATACCACAGTGAAACTCCACTACAACGAAACCTACATGTGCGAAAATCCAACCCCCCCCCCCCACCCCCCCCGCCAGTGTGAAACAATCTTCATGCATTAAAGCCATTCCCTCTTTTCTGCTTCCCCCTACAACGAAAAGTCCCCCCGTTGCGTAATACGAAATCCTTTTCTCCACCCTTGCCTCACGAGGTTCACAACAACGAAAACAAGCCTACCGCAAAAGTCTAATCCAACCCCAGCCTGCCACAGCCACCAGAAACGGCAACAGCAACCACCACAAAAGTCCCCTGTTGTGAAAAATTTCTGGGTGCAAACATGATTTCGTTGTAGAGGAGATCTACTGGTCATACATATTTTGCATAAACCGAATCGTTCATAAATAGAGCCGAGGTTTCACTGTATTTGTAATGGCCGTCAGTTTGTTAAACACACATTTTCACTGCAGTACTTGTATGTGATGCCAAATGAGAATTAAAATCAGTCTTTTCTCATTGCAGGTATTCGAGTCTTAGTGGATGCTCGAGAGAAGCTTCACATCCCATGGGGAAACTTGTCCAATCAGCGTCATGGGGATATGTTGATGGCGTTTGACACCCGGTCTATGATGGCCCACGGCCATGGTATGGTGCAGCCCAAAGTTTTTCAGCATTACCTGCCATCGATCCGGGCCCTGTGGACTGACCAGGGAATCCAGAATGCCTATGACCGCCGCAGAGAATTCCAATTGGTAAGTAGACAAAATTTACAGTTTATTCATTGGGCTGTACTGGTCCAGTATCAAAATTTAGAAAATGCCAGATTGTAAGGAACAAAACTGTATGAACTCACAGTGCTGTGCTGTTAAAAAAAAAAAAAAAAAAAAAAAAAAAACTCGGGCCCAGATGGCATCACTTGAAAATAGCAAATCTTCACCCAGCCGAGCTTTCCATGTCATTGGCACATAAACTCAGTGTTGGAAGTTATATAATCAAGGATTGATTCTGAATGGCTTACTTTTAGATGCGCTTTAGGGGTCTTTGGAGTGTACAGACAAGCTTTGACAGTAACAGAGAAAACCTCATCCTGACATTTGATGGAGCAGAGCTGCAGCTGCTATGCAAACAGAGATGCACACAGGAAAGCAGTTGAAAGGGAGCCTTATTTTTCTGCTTTCTGTCACTCTTCCCATACCATGACTTCATCAGGCAGAGCCACTGGCCCAAATGCTCTGGAGCATATTGCTCCTCTTTTTCTGTGACTCAACTTGGCCCGTAAATGTGTCGGGTAACAAGTGCTCTCCTGTTTTGTTTCACAAATTGGACATCGTAGTACAGCCTGGAATCAGTTTTTGCACAATAGAAAATTGAGCATCAACGCTTTATCCTCATGATGGGTGTGGGCGTGCTGGAGCCTATCCTTGCTGACTTGGGCGGTAGGCAGTATACACCCTGAACTGGCAGTCACATCTAGGTTCAATTGAGAGTGCTCAATTTACATACCAAGCATGTAACTCATGCAGGCACGGGGAGACCATACAAACTCCACAAAGGAAGGCCGGTGTCCGGAATCGTACCCATGACTTCTGCACTGTGAGGCAGACGTGTTAAACATCCGCCCACTGTGCCGCACTAAACAAGACCTCTATCCTTCCATCTGTCCATCCATTTTCAACACCGCTTATCCTGTACAGAGTGGCGGGGGGTTGCTTGAGCCTGCCCCAGCTGACTTCAGGCCGAAGGCCGACTACGCTCTGAACTGGTCACCAGTCAGTTGCAAAGCACATATAGTGACAAAAAAAAAAAACATTCACGCCACCCCCATTTACAGAATGGGAACCAACCCCACGCTGCCCACACACAACTTAGGCGAGTGTACCACTACACCATCAGTGACTCTAAACAAGATCTAGTTCAGTTTAACCCTTTCATCCCCCCTGTAACCTGATAACATGATAAACTGTCCACTGTAGTAACCGGTGTCCCTGAAAGGGTTAATTGAAGTCTTGTTTGTTTCCCCACCCCTTGGAGCGGTTCAGTTGTACAGCTGTGAACAAAAGAATCTGGTGCAGACTAAATCAATCAGTACAAGACCTTGTGCTTATTCATGTTGTGTGTGCCAGTAGCACCTGACCAAATAGTATATTCACATCAATGCCTTGGCACACAATTATTTTGAAGTTGTCCCCGGCTGACTTTATTTTGAAGTTGTCGTGCGTAACAGATGACTTGACTCATCTCCTACTGACGTCAATAACACAATGTGTTCAGCTAAATTAAGCCCCATAAAAAAAAAATAATAATAATAATAATTATGCTGACTCTGTATTGTACAGCGCCTGTTGTCAGCGTTTAGCACCGGTGCCAACGTTGGAGACTAGCTTGCCAAGCAAACAAATCAGTGAGTTCCGTTGGATCAAAGCCAGTTTTATAGACTTAAATAACAGCATGACAGTTGCCTTTCCTGCTGATCACATGTTGATTATCTAAAACAGGGGTGTCAAACTCATTTTTGTCGAAGGCCACATTACAATGCCCGTTTCCCTTGGAGGGCCATGATGACTGAAACTTTATCAAGAAGTCAATAATAATGTTTTGTTCAATTATTGTTTCAGTAAATGTAATGAGGGGTTTGGTAACAAGAAAATGGTTACAATATGTCACTGATTTATTGGATATGATAAATTCAAAGTTTGGTCCAGATTTTCAAAAACATCATGGAAGTTGTCATCTTTGACTTGCTTTCGCGGGCCACTTAAAATGATGTGGCGGGCCACATCTGGCCCCGGGGCCTAGAGTTTGACAAATGTGATCTAAAAAATGAAAACCAGTTGGTTGTTCATTGTTAAGCAGAAATATGTTTGTCTTCTGTATAACCAAGCAAATTGTACTACAACAAATATATGTTGTGTGTAAATCTAAAACCGATGGTAAATTGTGAAAATTTTCAGGAAAGACAATTAGTTTTTTGACGCCCTCTTTTTCTCTCTGTCTCAGGGGGAGTCCGTCAGGTATTTCCTGGACAATTTGGAAAAACTCGGACAGTCGGTAAGTCTCAGAAGTCTCTCAAATGGATGCCACCTTCCAGTGCCGCCCTAATAGTACAACCCCTCTACAACGAAACCTACATGTGCGAAATTACCCCCTGGTGTGAAAAAAATCTTCATGCATTAAAGCCATTCCCTCTTTTCTGCTTCCCCCTACAACAAAACCCCCCCTCCCTGTTGCGTAATATTGCGTAAATCCTTTTCTCCACACTTGCCTCACAATGAGGTTCACTACAACGAAAACAAGCCTACCGCAAAAGTCTCATCCAACTTCACCCTGCCACAGCCACAGCCACTGCTTAGCTAGGAAACGGCAATAGCAACCACTACACTGGCTTACTGCGCAGCAGTACAGGAAGTAGCTGTTATTGTTAGCACGCGGTTAGAAATTTCACTCGTGTTAAACAAATACAATACAATACAATACATCCTGATTTATATAGCGCTTTCACAACGGCAGCAGCTGTAACAAAGCGCTTAACAAAACAGTTAACATAAAGTAAAATAATAAACGCAACACATAACATAAAACACGGACAGTCGTGCAGTCCCAACCACCTTCCACCTCATACGCTTTATTGTTTAAAGCAGTTTCAGATGAAAGAGGAGAGAATCAAAGTGTCCTTTCACCAGTAGATCAGAGACGTCATGCTCAAAATCAAATAAGTGTATGCTCATACTTATGCACTGTTGGAATAAAAATAAAAAGTAGGCATATATGTTTTGTGTGTGTGTTTACGTCTGAGATAAAATTTGCTGAAGAGAAAACTCCCCTGTTGTGAAAAATTTCTGGCTGCAAACATGATTTCATTGTAGAGGTGTTCTACTGTACTATAAAACAAATGTATGTTAATGTTAAACAAAATCAAATAGGTGTATGCTCATACTTATGCACTATTGGAATAAAAATAGAGTACACATGTATGTTGTGTGTGTGTGTGTGTGTGTGTGTGTGTGTGTGTGTGTGTGTGTGTGTGTGTGTGCGTGTGTGTGCGTGTGCGCGCGCGCGCGCGCGCGCGTGTGCACTTGTATCATCATGACATTGCCTCTTAAATCACCCAAATATGGCAGTCAAACTAAACGGAAGTGCAGAACAAATGCTTTTTGATTTTCAATCACACTCAAAAATGTGTGGTTGTGGTCAGTCACGAATTACCTCAAAGTAAAGAAGAGGCCATTTTCATTGATTACACTTTATTGCTTATTTCTGAGGTTGTTATAAGTCAATTGGCTGTCAAATGACATCTATCAGTTATTTAATCAACCAAAAGAAAGTGACATTTGCACTAAGCACTAGGTTTTTGTGCAGTTCATCGCAATATTTTTGGGCTAAGAAAACTCCAGTCATGCTTTCTTTTCGACCAATGTTGTGTTTAGATTTTCTTTGTGTTACACAGAATATCACGGAACAAAAGCGAGACCAACTGTTATTCGTCATCAAATCCAAAGACATGTAATGATCCATTGCAGCGTGCTAAAACCAGTTAAATGTCTTTGAATCCTCCTTCCATCATAATTCAGTGTTTAAAATTTGATTTCTTCAAATTCTGTTCTCTAATTGGGCTGCAGTGTTTACTGACCCCCACCCCGCAGGTGTACTGACATGTACCAATGTGACTGGAACCTCAATAAAGGGGGTATTGGAAAAATGGGACTGCTGGGATTGAATTGTATTGTACTTATTCTTTAGTGACATTTTCAACATACAAAAACAAAGAAATCTGGATTTGCAAAAAAATATATTAAAAAAAAAAAAATCTCTTCAGTGAACAATAAAAGCTCACACAGAAGAGTAAAATGTTGCCCTACTGTGAGATTCTTTCTGACTAATCCTGTCCTCACCTAGTTGTACTTCACCTTCTTGGAAACTTTGATGAGGTGGGGCTAAAAATAGTACTGTAAATAGGGCTCGATATGCATTGGAATCCACAAAAGCCGCATTGTGCTAGATCAAGGCCTCATGATGGAAATGTACTAAAGGGGTGTTCACACGGCAACTTTTACTCTGGTGTAGCCCACCGTAGAGCGTTCACAAGTACAAAGTTATACCGCTGTAGCCCCTGAAAACAGCTTAAGCCGGAGCAAATTTAACCCTGCTCAGGAGGTGGTTTAAAAATTTACTCCGGAGCAAATGCTAGTTTGCGGGGCAGCACCGATATAAAATGGGATGTGTGAACACTCCAGGGGTAAACTCGCTACGTGTGAGAAGAGTTGATTACATACGGGTATTCTCGGCGTTTGGTGATGCCATGGCGACCATCCACATGGCCATGAACGACACGATGTCGTCGATTTGTTGCCCGAATGAATCGTAGAATGCGCTGCTTTCGTGCTCTGTTGTACTTCCGCCATCTTTCCTTTCTCTCTCTCATCCTTTTACGGTGTCTGATAGACCACAGCGTTGATTTGTCTGGAGAAGTATAAACCATGGTTTTTCGATATGTCACAAACAAGGCGGGGAAAAGGAAGTACACTTTACACATGCGCATGTTTAATCGTATTGCACAGCCACAGAAACTCGTGTGAACGCAAGTGGGGCTGCAGCGGGGTTAACACGCTTCTCTTTAGTAAGCAGCTTTATACATGTGAACGCTCCATAAAATTTACATATATATATATATATATATATACACACACACACACACACATCCCTCTATCCATCTATCCATCCAGGGTCATGGGGTGTGCTGGAGCCTATCTCAACCGTCTTCGGGCAGTAGGCGGGGGACACCCTGAACCAGTTGCCAGCCAATCGCAGGGCACACATAGACGAGCAACCATGCACACACAGACGAGCAACCATCCGCGCACACACTCACACCTATGGACAATTTGGAGTGTTCAATCAGCCTGCCATGCATGTTTTTGGAATGTGGGCGGAATCCGGAGTACCCAGAGAAAACCCACGCAGGCACAGGGAGAACATGTAACCTCCACACAGGACAGCCGGAGCCGGAATTGAACCCTGCACCTCTGCACTGTGAGGCAGTAAATACAAAAATGCTAAAGCTCAGAACTG